AACCACTTACACAACCCCATATCAAAGAAACAAAACCAACATGCAATAATGCAAGATCCCAAATCAAAGAAACAACAACTTCAACCCCAAATGCCCCAACTTAGATTCAGCGTTGTCCCACAGGGAAAAGGATTCAGCGCCTTGTCCTTGCACTTGGATAGGACGGAGGAGCTTGACGAGGCGGTGAGTGGGAAGGGCCAGGGCTACGTGCTGAACCACAAAGAGGCCACATGCTGCGAGGGCAAAGCCCGGTCCTATGAAATTGGCGTCAGTGCTGCTGCTGGCATCGCCATCGGCACATCGGCCGTTGGATTTGAAGGTTACAATAAATGGTCTGGAGATGGAAAACATTGTGAGTTCAAGTATGGGCAACTTCAAGAAGTGTGCGGTGGCCTTGCACTTGGACTTGGTATCGACATGACCGTCGCCAACGGCTGGTGGAAGGACGCGGACAGTACCAAAGGTCAGAGTTCCTTTGCTGGTGCGACGCTCTGTTTCGGCATTTGCTTTGGTGGCGAGTATGTCGTGGATACATCTTTCAGCCAGATTGGGTGGGTGATTTCGTCAGGTGGGGATTGGGTGAACAAAACTGCTACGTTTCTGGTCCAAAACTGGTAAAAATCAAGAGCAAAATGAATCTGGAGAGCAACCTTCATGTCGTCATGTCGCCTATTGCAACAGAAGATGTTATAGCCAGAGACCAAACAGCGATGTTTTTTCATGCAGCCTGTGGTGTGAACAGTTGGTAAGTTTGGTACAGATAGTACAGATGCAGTTTTTCGAATTTTTCAGATATCGAAGCCATTGGGGTCTTACTACACACAGGAAGAGGGGTTGGACCTACTGCTGGAGCCTTTGCGTCGGGTTTTTCGGTGTGGGGTTTCGGGCGCTGCTGCTGTTGCTGCCATGATTTCACATTGTGTCTGCTTGTGACTTTTGCTATCTGGGTTCCATGCTGGCGTAACTTGCCCACTAATCAGCAGAATGACAACTTGGTTGCAGTTTTCAATCCGGGAGTCGCCTAATACAACCCATTCCCAGGCCTGGGTTTTGGCGGTGACATCAGCGCTGGCCACTGCAACGCTTGGACACTTTGGGAACAAAAAGCCTGGCAGTGGAATTTGCAGGGCAAATGCCCTGCAGGTGGATGCTTTCCCTCTGATGCACAGGTGCCAAGCTGCTGTTCCTTTTGGTTGGGACGCGACTTTTGTTCACCCATTGATTCATTTGTCAAGGTATTGGGATATCATGAATCTATTTCTGGGATTTTCTGGGATTCACTACTGTCCAGCAGCAATTCCAAAGTTGCATAAAACCATTGTTACCTCGGGATTCATCGGGATTCACCAGGGTTCATTAGGATTCAGGATGTAGGTGGCGCTTGTACCCCAAACTCGGCAGGTGACGACTCCCAGCGGGGTCAAGACCATGCGAGAGCTCAAGGCAGGGGACCGTGTGCTTACAGCGGATTCCAAGGGCAAGCTGATCTTCGATGAGGCGATGCCGGCGATGCGTTGGGATGCGGGGTTGGGCTAAGTCTGCTAATGTTTGTCGTTGATTCGTGTGTGGGGTCCCCCCATGGCTTGTCTTCTCAAGGGTGTCTTTCCCAGAGTGTCTTCCCAAGAGTGTCTTC